GGAAGGGGACAGGGACTCTGCTCAGGGAAGAGGAAAAAAAGGAGCAACCCCTTCTTCTTTTTTTTTTTTTTTTTTTTAATTTTTTGGCCAAACTGCGTGGCTTGTGGGATATTAGTTCCCTGACCAGGGATTGAACCCAGTCCACAGCGGCGAAAGCTCGAATCTTAACCACTGAATCACCAGAGAATTAACCCCTCCTACTTTTTTAAACGTGCAAATCACAGTGGCACTTGCCCTGGCCGATATTCCTAGTCACCATAAGGAACATGCAATTAGTTTCAAAGCACAAGCGACAGTCAGTGAATAGGGAGCAGCAGAGAGTGATGAGCACACATTGCAACCGAAGTTAAATACAACTATTCCTCTCCCCGGCCATTCAAACCCCAAGCAGCGCCATGTTCATTCACATTACCTATTCATCTTCCTTTGCAATTGACTATTCAGGAAACATCATTTTTTTCCAGGGTAGCTAATTACCTACTTCTTTCCATTAAAATGCACAAACAAATTGGGACAGAGAGTAAACCCGGGGAAATAGCACGGTGGCTAACGCAGTGCCTGCCTTCACTTTCTTCCTCCGTTTTCAGCTTTGCAACTCTGAGCTAACTGCAGCTCCTGAAAGCGCATTTCTGCTGAGAAAAGCTAAACCTGTTTTCTGAAACGTTCACCCGCCATGCAGCCGATTTCTCGTCCCCACCTGGCTCAGCCAGCCTCGCAGGGAGGCTGCGCTGGCTGTGCCTCATCGGTGCCCACCGACAGGCACGCACATTCGTGCACGGGTGTGAGGATACATTTCCATATGCTTGGCATTTACGCCTGGACACAGGCCATCGAGACACCCGTGAGAGGCTTTACACACCCTCACATTAAACTCACTGTACGCCAAGAATTCTTCCGTAAAGTCTCAACTCCCACTGCCCTGGGGTCAGCTCCCAGCCATCCCATCCCACTCTGGGAAACTGGGGGACTCACCTCGGTGATTTGGGGGTTGGAGCACTTAACATTGTGGCTGGACCAGTCAAGCCAGGGGCTGGAGGGGCTGCTACAGTGCTGCTGGAGGGTGCACCTGCGCTCACCGCTGCACCAGCCACACTCGAACTTCCGGTCGGCCTTGAGGCAGAGGCCACAGCTCTCCCGCTGGGCTGCACACTTGTAGAGGTGGACTGCAAAGAGAGGGGGGCAGTCACAGATGGGGTTGGAGAGGACGCCTCACAATTTACCCCCTTCTTGCAGCCATGATAGAAACCGCCCCCCAACCATGGATAACACCCATAATCATCATTATCCTTGCAAGAATAATTGATGGGGAATTAATAATAAATTGAGCCTCTTAGCAGTCGTTTAAAGGCACTAAAGAAAATATTATTTAACAGTTCTGGCTCTAGATTAAATTGGATCAGGGCTTTAATTGTGGCTTCACCACTTCCTAGCAATGTGACAAAGAATTTAACTTCTTTCAACGTTCAGTACCTACTCTATAACATGGTGATAATCATTGTTTTTTGTGAGGTTTGAATGAGATGTTGTATATTCAGTGCTTAGCACAGTGCCTGTAACATAGCTGATGTTCTGTACGTGCTTATTATCTTTTCTTTGAACTCAAACTACATTCTTACTCTGCTGCTTCTCTTTCTGCCACATACGGCCCTCGCTGAAAGAGGTAAGGACTGATTTCCCCATTTCAGGCAAAAAAGAAGCTCAAAGAGAGATGTAATGACTCTTGGAGTTTACTAAGGTTAGTGCCCCAAGCTGGGATTCTGCAGATCCAACTCGCTGTGCTGCTAGCACGCAGGTCCTGAGAGGAGAGAGGCACACAGGGTACTGGGTGGGTCTGGGAGAGGCGTCAGCTGGGGCTTCAAGAAAGGCCACATGCCTGGCAGAGTGGAGGCAGAGCTGATAAGGAAAGATGGTTGATGCCATCCTGTTCATGGCCCTGTGGATGGAGCAGATATCCCCAGAGAGGGCAAACTGGCTACTTAACAGGTCACTTTTGGAGTCTGCAAATGCTTTTGCTTTTGTCTCCTACCCACTTAGAAGCCCTAGACAGGCCAGTCGGCAGAACTGTTTTGTGAGCCCAAGGCTTGGTTGCTGGAGTTTTGAATTCAGAGTCCCAAGTAGAATTCTTCAGAAGCAGAATACTTAGAAAGCCATTTTTCAACTCTTCTGGTCAAGCAGACGTAAGCTCTCAGGCCTGGGTGGCATGCCTCTGGAGCTCAGGTACATGCCCCAGGGTAGACGTATTTTTTTAATTCTTCCATGCGTCCCCATTCTACTCCCCTGTTCTGCCAAGCATTCCTCAGTCTCAGCTGCAGGGGCTATACTGAAACATCCTCATGCCTATGGCTTCTTACGGTAGAGGGCAGGAAATGGGAATCTTAAAATGAACAAATCCACATTATGCATGTATTAATATGCAAATGGTCCACATCTAATTTCTCATTTGATCCTCATGGTGACCCTGAGAGGTGGGCATCCTTTCCCCCATTTCCCAGATAATGAACTTGGGACATTGAGAGGAGCAGTAATTAGTCTGAGTTCACATAGCTATTGGTGAAAGAGCCAGGATTCGAATCCCAGTTTGTTGGATTCTAGAATCCGCGTCCTTAAGCACTGTGGCCTCCTCCACCCAACACAGTGCATAATCTCCAGGAACAGCTGGGATCTGGGTGGGAGGTGACTGTGAGATCACCATGGCCTGTGCATTCAAGGAGCTGCTTAAGAGTTTTCAGGCGCCACAAGGGAGGGTTCCGATGCCACAGCTTGGATGTGGCTGTTTTTTCTCTTAAGCTCCAGGTGCAAAGGCAACCTCTGGGAACTAAGCCCAGATCCTCAGCAGGGGAAATGTCTATCTCTTAGCACTGAGAAAATTTGGCCTGGGTATGGGGGGAAATAGAAAAAATCTCCCAGCCTAAGTTCTCCCTGATTTTCATGGCAGCATCCGGGACAGGGACCGTAGCAACTGGAAGAGATGCTGAAGCACTTTCAGGTCCTCCTGTGGCCTCAGTCCCTCTTTCTGTGCCCATGGGGTGACCCTTGGGTTGAAGGACAGGCTTGTGACAACCCTAGCTACTTGAAATGTGGTGGAATGTGGCTCATGGTGGGGGGTGGTGATAGGGTTCTAGGGGAGGAGGTTTCACATCCCACAATAGCTGGAGCCACTGGGAGGAAGGACAGTGATGTGGTTAAGCATGTGAGGTCCAGAATTAGACTGTTTTGGTTCAAATCCTGGCTCTTACTATTTGACTCTTGGTTCATTTTTTTTCTTTTTTCAACTTCATTGAGATGTAACTGACAAAAAAAATTGTACAATATTTGAAGTGTATACTGTGATGATTTGACATACATACAAAGAGTGAAAAGATTCCTCCCATCTAGTTAATTAACACATCCATCACCCCCATATCTATATCTATATATATATGTGTGTGTGTGTGTGTATGTATATATACATATATATATATGTATATATACATATATATGTGTTAAGAACATTTAAGTTCTACTCTCTTAGCAAATTTCAATTATGTAATACAGTGTTACCAACTAGAGCCACCATGTTAGACATTAGATCCTCAGACCTTATTCATCTTACAGCTGGAAGTTTGTATGCTGTTACCAACCTATCCCTATTTCTCCAACCCCCTCAAACCCCTGGCAACCACTTTTCTACTCTGTTTCTGTGAGTTGGACATTTTTTTTTAGGTTCCACATATAAGTTATACTACACAGTCTTTGTCTTAAAAACATGGAATGCTTTGTGAGTTTGCAGCCTCTTTGTGCAGAGGTCATGACCTCTGCATCGTTCCAATTTTGGTGTATATGTTGCCAAAGTGAACAGTCTTGGTACATCTCTTAACTTCTTTGGGTCTCAGTTTCCTTATCTATAAAATGAGGATAATATTGGTACATACCCTTCAGAGTTGTTATGATTAGGAAAATAATCTCAAATAAACCACTTAGTGAGTGCCTAGCCAGAGTGCTCATCAAACTGGAGTCACTTTTGTCATTCTTGAGATCTGGGAGGAATGCTGTACTAGGGGCAGCCTGCCTGCACCCAGGAGGACCTCCACATGGGTGTGTAGGACATGAATGAGGTGGCCTCATGGAACACCGCCTCCCGCATCAGCCCAGCTCCTTCCTGAGCTTCATTGCAACAGCTGTGCCCTCGAGTCAGCAAGCCGGTCCCTCCCGTCCACCTCAGGACCAGGGGAGCCGCCTTTCAAACCTTCCTTGTGCAGTGACTGGGGCCAAGGACAGGGGAACCAGAACCTGATTGGAAATAATATCTCCATTTCCAGGGAAACTGGCAGGACACTCCTGCCTGCTGCTCTCCTGGTCAGGTTCCACAGACACTTCAAAGTCTCCGGGAGCCAAAGGAAAACGTGATGAACCGGCAGCCACCCGGCGGATGCTCTGGTTGTAATAAAACAGGGTTCCCAACAGGACTGCTTTGATGGTGCCAAATGTTGCTTTAGGAGCCTCTGAAGAATTATGCTGACAGAAGGAGTGTATTATTCATGGCACAGCAGCTGGCCGGCTCTGATGCTTCCAGCCCCAGTCTTTCCCAGGGTCATGGAAAGATCAAAACTCTACCTGGGGGCTTCCCTGGTGGCGCAGTGGTTGAGAGTCCGCCTGCCGATGCAGGGGACACGGGTTTGTGCCCCGGTCCGGGAAGATCCCACATGCCGCGGAGCGGCTGGGCCTGTGAGCCATGGCCGCTGAGCCTGCGCGTCTGAGCCTGTGCTCCGCAACGGGAGAGTCCACAAGAGTGAGAGGCCCGCATACCGCAAACAAACAAACAAACAAACAAACAAAAACTCTACCTGGAATTAGCTGCTTACCTTTCAGGTCCTGAGGGTTGTCAATGATGAAATTGCCATTCCACACCACGGCAAAGTCCACGGCCAGGTTGCTGATGTCCATCCCGTCGTACTGGTACTGTGGGGAGAGGGGCAGAGGTACATGCTCATGAGACTTTCAGTCACAGGGGGGCGGGGATGCTGCTACTATCTCAGGGGACCAGGAAAGAAACCAGGGACTCTGGTTCTCTCTGGGCTGAGAGAGGACCAGAGGGAGAAACAGGAACCCCGTGCACCGTTCACATTATCCCTATGGTGTCTTCCCCCCGACCGCTAGTCACTAATGCCAACAGGATCCAGCTCAAACCCCTTAGTTGGCATTCAATGCCCCTATAATCCCATCCAAGCTTAGTTCTCCAACCTTCTCTTCCACTTCTCCAGAATCTTTGAAGCACCTCTCTCCAAGCACACCCGCCCAAGCCCCTCTCTGTATGTGTTCAGTTCACGTCTCCTAAGAATTCTTCCCTCCCCCGACAGCCTCCACCCTTCACCACCTTTACTCTCCTAGTCTAGCTCAGACTCACCTTCCCCAGGTGTCTTCTCTGCCATCCCTCCCAGCCCTCTCTAACCTCTCCATCCCCTGGTGTTTCTGTCTTTAACCAGGCACTTCCCGGGAGCTGCTTTGAGTCTTTTCACATGGAAGTCTAGTCTCTTTAGAAAGTCCACATGCCGCTCTGTAAATCCCACAGGGCCCTGAGCGCAGCACGTGTGTAACACACAGCGGTGCCTCGATTGGTTGACCAGGCCCTGTGGTGGCCCTTTCTTTCTGCACGTGAGCTTTGCTTTGGTCAACAGTTCACTAGGGAAAGTGCCCAGAGCTTTCTGGGCACAGATCTGATCAGCTCTGGCCCCCAAGCTGTAGCTGGGAGTGGACTTTCTCCCATGCTCATCCCACCGAGGACCCTCAAACCCTCAGACACATCAGAAACAGCCCCACTGGTGGCCCAGCCCCTGAGCCTCTGTGGGAATCCCCTCTGTGGGGACTGCCCAGCCCGGCCAATTAGCTCCCAGGGCCTGTCACTCTGGCCCTTCCTGCCACCTTCCTCCCTTTGTTGTGCTCCATTGCTTTCTCATCTCCCACCTTCCTCGGGTGCTTGGCGGCCTTCTACCGATTACAAATTTCATCAAGTGCCCATGACCGGGAATCTGACAGCTCCCTGATAAGAGGCCCAGATTCTCTTTCTCTCTCCCGGGCGAATTACCTTCCCTCAGCACCTCTGTCACCTTTGTCACATCCCCCCCATCTCCCAGCTGACCCCCCAGAGCTGGTGGGAGACAGGGAGCTGGCAGATGAAAAGATCTTCCCTGGGCTAGTAGTATAATTAAACACCTCACGCTTTCTGTCTGGCATTCGGGATTGCTTTAACCCTTGCTGCGCTTGGAGTGCACAGCTTCCTCCTCCTCCCTTCCCCCCTCCGCTTCCCTCCTCCTACTTCCACTTGCGCTGATCTCTTCTGCAGCTGTCCTCCCGCGTGGTGCCCTGCCCTCCAGTGGATCCACTCCCTGAATGCGGACAGGGTTTGTGGTCAAGTTGACTGGCGTTGGCTGAAGTTTCACCAAAGGCCAAGAAGTACTCTTTCAACTCAGAAAGGGCACAAAGCTCTCAGCTGATGCCAGGAGACTCCTCTGTCCCTGGAGACGTGGGTCAGCCTGTGGACCTGGAGGGTTCTGGAAGCCGGGGCAGGCCAGGCTGAGGTCGTGGCTCAGGTGTGACAGAAAGCCCTGCCCTGGTGCTCTTACCGAGCTGTTCTGGCACTGGACGCTGGAGCTGTTGAAACGCAGAGCGGGGACCCGGTGGATGGCCCCCTGTATGTTGAGGACGCACTCATAGCCTCTCTGGCCAGACTGAGGCTGGGGCAGGTTTCGAGCCTTGAGGGTGATTGGTTTTACTTCCCCGACGGGTATCAGGATCTCCTCCGTGGGCACCAGCTGGGGACAGTCCTGGGGAACAAGCAGAGATCCTCCATCTGGTCTGTCCTGGCTCATACCTCCCTGTTCCCCAAGCCCGGGCGGTGGACAGGCCTTCCATGCCAGGCCATACCCTCTTGCATCCAGGAGGGCTGCCCACAAGGATGTACCTCATTTAAGGGGCACATGGAGTCAGCAGGGAATATGAAATCTATCTCTTAGCTCCCGGGCCTCGATATCATCATCCCCATCCCACAAATTGTCCTGTATCTGGTGTGCGTGTTACAATTTAGGAATTAATTTTCAAACCCCGGCGTGGCAGGTTGTGGATTTTATCTCCTGAGACACAGGATAAAAGATGCTCCATGCGTCCCTGTCCCCAGCCTGGACACCCCCACCACTGGGTTTCATCTGTCCCCCAGCTCCTCTTGCACTGTCCGTGCCCAAGGTGATCTGTTATTGGCAGCCTCAGCTTCCCAGTGCCGACTGAGTGGCCTTTCCAGGAGGTGGCTCAAGCCCTCCCAGCAACGCTCTAAACACTTGCTCTGGCTTTTTATCTCACGTCATTACCAAGCCTTGCATGAAGCCCATATCGCTTTGGAAAACAAAACAGAAAAAATAAAGTCTTGGTGTGGAGGGGTTGTGGGAATGACCAGGGGAGAGGGAGGAAGTGAGGAGTGGCGTTCCTCAGTTCTTCTAGAGGCTGCTTCTCCCCCAGAGGTCAAGTGACCACCTCTTGACAGTTCCACGCCCTGCCCATTTTCTCCCTCTCCAGGAAGACATTGCCCAGTGGCCTCTGGCAACGAGAACACACAGCCTCCTCCATGTGCAATCATTTCCTGTCTCTAGGGATCAACTGCGCAACGTCTTGGAGGCCCCCCTTTCCCTGTCCCCTTCCCCTCCGTGGTGGTGGCGGTTCTCAGAGGGAGCCTTTGGGAAGGTGGGGGGGGGGGGGGGGGGGTATGTTGCTACCCTGCAGAGGGGGGGGAGGGGGGGGGGGGGGGGGGTGGTGGTATGTTGCTACCCTGCAGAGGGTGCTACTGGCATTTAGTGCCGGGTGTGGGGCAGGATGCTGAACTTCCTCAAGGTGTGGGACAGTCTGGAACAATAAATGGTCCCTCTCCTAATGCCAGAGGCATACCTGGTAAGAAGCCTTTGGTGCCACAGGAATGTGAAACAATGGACTGCCTTAGCCGTGGGCTTCTCGCTCAGTGTGGGCTTAGGCAGTGGCCGCAGGAGCAAGTGCTTCCCTTCGTGATTTGGCCCCTGCCTCCTTCTTACCCTGTGATTCTTGGGCATCGTGGTCCAGCCATACCACGGAGGAATTTAAGGTTAGTCCTGAGGGACCATCTCTCTCACTTATCAACCTCTGATCCTTTGAAGATGCTTTTCCCTCCACCAGAAACACTCCCCTTCCACCCCCCGAATCTTCCTCCTGGCCCCTGACTCAGCCCTCTTTAGCTGATTACCTCTTAATTAGCCTTCAAACTCAACGCTGCAGCTCCTTCTTTGTAAAGCCATCCCTGACCCTTTCCCTGCACTGGCCCTCAGGATGGGTTACGGATACTCTCCCCGATCGCATTTAGCCCTCAGAATTGCAGTTTCTCCTTGACTTGTCTTCCTTATTGGTCTGTGAGCCTTGAGGATTAGGCTGCATCTTATTTGCCTCCATATCCCCAGGCTTTATCCAAATTCCTGACATGTAGGCGTTGCTCGTGGGAGGGTAAATGGAAAATAAGAAAATAAAGCAACAGACAAAATGATCTCAAACTTTCTATTTGGCTCCAACTTCCTAGATTTTTTAGGGATGAGGTAAAGTCCTGCCTTTTGGACATCTAGAGACGTGAGCAGGAGTTTGATTCCCGAAGCTGGGCTTGGAAATGGTCATTGTTTCTGGAGTCACAGGATTACTAAATTGGAACATCTATGTCTATTAAGGAATCCTGAGGATTTATGAAAAGCTGGGTCCAGGAGAAGTTTCCCACAGAAACCTACTCCCACAGAAACCTATCTAGGAGGGTCAGGCGGAACCTCACGGGTCACGGTGCCATCCCTCAGTGACTGCATGTGAGGATATCAAGCAGGCAAGTTTTCCACAGGAGACAGGAGCATAAGGCAACCCCAGAACAGATGGGTCCCTGTTTAGAAGTCAGTCACTCAAGCTGCCAACTCATAAACTTGCTCTTTACTGCACTTTTACTTTCAATCCCCACGGGCACTCTTGACAGTCTTTCATATATTTATAGCCAAGAAAAAGAAAAAAAAGAACACCACTTTAGGGAAACCCAGGCTTCCCTTTGAAAAGGAGATACTATTTCCTGTTAGTGGCTAAAAAACTCCCATTGAGTCTAAAAAATTAGAATTTAAATTCAGACTAGAAATAAGGCTGAGGTATAATGAGGGTGTGTCTCTGTGTGTGTGTGCATGTGTGTGTGTATACCTGTAAGACAGAGAGGGAGAGAATAGATATTCAGAATCAGAGCTAGTCGATAGGGATCTGGGGATTAACGGGAAAAGTTTTGGCAGGAGCCTGAGGGACGGCGGCGGTGGCACGGAGGGCAGCCAGGACAGCGTTGCGTGGTGTTTTGGCGTATGCACGTGGTACTCACGCAGTGGCTTCTGTTCACCGACAGATGAGGACAGATGCACCAAGGAGGGGACGCAGGTTCGAGCCATGGTCCGGGAAGATGCCACATGCCGCAGAGCAACAAAGCCTGTGCGCCACGGCTGCTGGGCTTGTGCTCTAGAGCCCGAGAGCCACAACTACTGAGCCCGCATGTCTAGAGCCCGTGTTCTGCAACGGGGGGGGGCGGGGGGGGCACCGCAGTGAGAGGCCCACGCACCACAACGAAGAGTAGCCCCCACTCGCCGCAACTAGAGAAAGCCGGCGTGCAGCAACGAAGACCCAATGCAGTCAAAAATAAATAAATAAAAGAAACAAATTTGTTTAAAAGAACTATTAAGAAAACAATTGTTAAGGACATCAAGAACTTTTGTTTACTGTATTAGAAATTAAAACTGAGGCAGTTTTAAAAATTAAAAAAGAAAAAGAACTAGTTGATATATTGTAAAGGGTGACCAGTTTTTTCATCTCTAATGAGTTCAGAGAACAAATTCAAATTTCATGAGCGGAGTCTTAAAGATGTACTTTTGGGAGTACAATGTCTTATGTTAGTAAACAAGATTGGAGAATCCTTTTAACTATGACATAAAATATATGTATGCATGTGTATATACACGAACACACAAATACACATGCCCCACACACCCTCATCCTTTGGGCTGTGCTGTCTGGTCCAGGCTGGAAGTTGGAGAATCGTAAGGAGACTTTATGAGTACTTTTATGAGATTTTTAAAGAGATTCTACAATTTTAGAAAAAATTCCCATGGTCAGACTTTCAGACTTTTGGGGACTAAATTGAAGGATGATGATTAGGGGCTTTCCAAACGCCTAAACAGGCTTCCAAGATTGCCCCAGGAGAAAAGAATGCCTTAGGCTTTGCTTGTTTTTTGTCTGTCTCTCTCAGGCCAGATGGAATAGCATCCTTCCTTCCCTTCTCTAGGGCAAAGGGAAGACATGGCTGGTGCCCAGGTACAGTCTCTTCTCCCTAGGAAATACAGGGATATACAGACTCTTTGGTTGTGAGACTGTTCTGGTGACTATCTTGAGGGAGCAGCGAGTCTTAGGTGGAATGGCAGTGGTGAGGGCTGAAGGCAGGTGCAGGAGAGCCGGCAGCCTGAACATTGCCAAGCTGTTGGAACTTCGATACCTCTGGGGCTTTAGGAAGGTGATGGGTTTCATTAGATACAATAAGGCCACTTCCAAGCTGTTTGCTTCTGTGAGTACACACACATGCATGCACACAGTTCCTGTCCTAAGAACAAGAGAGCAAATAATCATGGGAGGCTTCTTCTGCAGCATGTGAAGACTGTTGTGAGCATTGTTAGAATCTCCATTGCTTCTGCAGACCCGCCCAGTCTCCTGAATGACCTCTGTAGGTCATTTTACTCCTCCTTCTGCCTCTAGGCTAACTGGCAGCAGGATAGCCCTCCTTGGCAGCAATCTGAGTTTCTATCAAGTTGAGCAGATGTCCTGTTGGGGAACATCCCAGGGGAGGGGTGAGCAGCGGAGGAGGAGACACGACCGGAGGGAGGGCGGGACCCTGGCACAGCAGCCCTGTGTACGAACCTTTGGGCCACATGATCCACCCTGTTTAGCTGTGCTTCTCCAGCTTTCAGCGCTGGGGACCCTTCAGCCCTCAGAAACGACTTCTCCCATGTGGAAATGACATTATCTTCACCAGCTGGACTTCAAAGAGACCGAGCAGCCAGCATTCTGGGAAGCTAATCGGATTTATTTGGTTCTATCTTTCCTCTGGGACAGGGCGTAAAGAAGATACGTGTATCTACATCTCACAAGGCCTGGTTTAGCCATGGAGGGAGATGAGCTTCTAAAGCTGAAAGCCATACATACTCCTGCGCACACCCATGCAAACACCATGTCACAGCTTGATCCAGTCCAGGGAGGCCCAGATTTCTGGGACCCCATCAGAGATCTGCTGTGCCCTGAGTGGGGGAAAGGTTTGGCTCGTTACCTTAAAAGAGCTCAAGAGACGGTTCAATTGAAATTCAGCTTCCTCATCTATAAAATGGGGCCTGTGATACCTGACAACCCGAGACTGCAGGCAAGAGGGACATGAAGGTCTGTTGTAAGTGGTGATAAACTGGGTTAACCATGTTAACATTACTACTGCATACTTCTCGCATGTGTACGTGAACACAGGATCAGAGGACTTCAACATCCTTAGAACCAGCTTGGGAACATTGGATCATGACTTGTGCATTTATGTGAGGATCATAAGAAAATTGTTTAAACTTATCAACTTATTCATCTATAATAGAATCCTCTTCATAGAGCAGTTAAAATTAAATGAGATAAAAATGTACATGTATAATGTTGTATAGATAATAAGCAATCAAAAAATGTTAACTACTAGTACTTTTAATTTGAATTACATTCACCCTAGCACAGTGGTTCTTGGTTATCGGGACTAAGTGTGGGATTGGTCCATCAGCCCTCTGGAAAGAAGTAAGCAGATTCGTCTCATGTCCTGGTTACCTTTGTATCTGGAAGTAGAGTACTACTGACCTGTATTCCATGGGCAATTTCTGCATCTGTGGGGATGGATTTGTGAGGGTCCCTCATGACCAACGGTGCAGGGCTAGGTTGAGGTTAGACCCACAAGTGTGGCTGCGACCGTGGAAATAGACAAGAGGACCAGTTCTGATTTTCTGGAGAAAGCATCCTGTACTCTGCCTTTTTGGATGCCTGAGTTCTCTGTAGCCTTGGGCAAAACCCCCAATTTTTAGCATCTTGGTTACTACATCTGTCAAATATGAGTTATGTGAAACTGAAAGTCTGTTGTGAGAATCAACTGAGATGCCATATGTCAGTGGTTCTCAATCTTCAGCCTAATCTGGGATGAGGCCCAAGAATTTGAATTTCTAACAAGTTCCCAAGTGATGCTGATGCCACTGGTCCCCCCATCCCCCACCCTCCTGTCACATGTGAGAGACATGCAAATGTGTGGTACATTAATGTTACTATACACATCAATGGAGCTAATCAGTTATACATTGTTTCTAGGAAGAAGACAGATGTAAAATTTTGATTCAAAGTTGGGAGGCCCTTACAGAAGTGGAAAAGAGATATTGTAGGAGCCCCAAAGAGGCACCTAAGGGATTTCCAGTCCCCAGAAGAACCTGAGGACATAGGCAGGACTCTTAACTGAGCAAGGGGAACCTCACAGGAGCCGGCCACGTGCACCTTTGCTGTTCCCCACATTTTCAGAAACTGGGTTCCCCCCCAAAGCAGAGCTTTGGACAGGACAGAGCGGGGTCTCGGAGCTGTTTGCTGATAAAGGACATGGGAGTGGCTGTGGCCCTGGCAACCTCCTCGGAAGTTGTGCCCTATTTCCTTTCCTGAGTAAACTCAGGAGCCCCGGAGCACCCTCACCCACACCCAGTCTCTGGGGCCCTGCTGGCTAGTGCATGTCAGCAGGGCGAGGGGGAGGTGGTGGAGACAAAGGCATCTCTCTCACTTCAAGGAACAGACATTAAGGGAGGAAATGAAAAAGGAGATGGGAAGCCTCTGGCTTTCCCCCCAGGGCTCTTTTGGTATTAATTTAATCCTGACTTGGGATGGCAACAGCTTCTCCCAGGCCCAGTCCTCTGGAATTCTTGAGTCACCCGTGGCTGAGAGGGAGCTGTGTTCCAGTGACTTCTAAAGGGCGAGAGGGAGGCGGCATGATTTCAATTAGCCTCTGGGCCTCAGCCCTTCGGCCTCTACACGGGGCAGAGTTACCGGTCTCGCTCGGTCTGACACCTCTCCTGCTGCCCGTTGGGTCCTGTCAGGCTTGGCTTCAGGTTTCTCTTTGCCCAAGGGAGCCACATGAAAATGAAGCAGCTCCTTCTAGTCTGGACCTGCGCGTCACCCTCTCTCTCTGCACTCTGTGGTCCTCCTCAATTTATTTTATTAACAAACTTTGGAGGTTAGAAGTGGCCACTGTGAAGGTCAGTTTCTGAGACTGTTTACCATGACCTTTCACTGCCCACCCTTCGTCTCTGCACAGCCCTGCCCTGGCCTCCTTGCCTCCCTAGGCCGGTCTTCTATTGACACCCAAGCTGGGCTCACGCCCTCTCCCACCATACCCTCAGCTCATGCATGGGTCCTTTCCTCTGGGTAAGAAAAAGAGACTGAAAGCAGTCTCATCCTCTTGCAGAATCCCAGGGCTGGGGTTAATTTCCAGGGTCCACTAAGACCAGGGTGGCGCTTTCTGGTCGGTTACATCAAAGCATACAGACTGGCCAGAGGAAAAGCCTTCCTTGAAAGGTTTCCAGGGCACTAGGTAACTGGTTCCATCCTGCTGAGGCATCTGTGGTTGGGTCTGCCTTAAATATCGCCTGTGGGCACCATCTGTGTGTCTCTCATTCAAGACAGGCAAACTCCATTTTTTCTGGCTCAATATAACACATATTGTTTCAGGAGCTCAAAAGAATTCATGGTCACACGTGTGTGTGTGTGTGTGTGTGTGTGTGTGTGTGTGTGTGTGTGTGTGTGTCTGGGAAACCTTTCAAGGTCTACTTTCTTCTTAAATTAAAAATTAAAAAAAATGTAGCTTTACTGAGGTATAATTGACAAAATTATAAGGTATTTAAATTGTACATCATGCTGACATGTATATCAAGGCTTACTTTCTCGTGTTTGTGCATGGAAGCAACCAGTACTTCTACCCAGATTAGGAGACAGAAAAGACTCTATTTCTTGAAATCTTAGACAAGTAGCTCCAAGGAACACTTCCTATTAATGGCATTTGGGTAAAGTGGTCATTGGTTCCTCTATGTTTTCATGCATGCATGCTACAGACTTTCACTGAAAAAGGCACTGAGGATTTAAAGATAATATGTAATCCTTGCCTTTAAGGAGCCTGTAGCCTAGTGCAAGAGGGAGACATATAAAGGCCATAGCAGTCTTTGCAAATGCTACACTGTCACTTATTTACATTTGCGGATTTTCTAAAAGGTGGAACAAGAGGTGAATGTATATTTATACATATGTGCATTTGTGGGAATACATAAGGTCTCTATAGTTGTTCAAACTCACCTACTGGTCACTCTGGGGCATGAAAAACATTAGACACTGACCCAGCAGGCTTCGTTGTCCTAAGGCCTGCTATGAATTTGTAAGAGAGTCAACCTCAAGGAAATATCATTGGGTGGGATATTCATTGGAAAGAGAAGAAATCTGATATTGCACTGTGTTGATGACAAAGGTGGGTCTGGCCTTAGGGATGGCACTATGACTGTACAAGAAAATGGGACTTTTAGCAAGGCCTGTTTCTTTTCGCCAGTTGACTGCCTCTCTCTTTTGTAAGGCCACCCACACAGTCATACACCAGAGTCAAAGAATCACTGAATTTTAGACTAGGAAGGGAGGTTGGCATGAAAGAGTGGCGGAGAGTGAATGTTCTATTGAACTAGACGATGTCTGCAGCCAAGCAAAGGGCTTAGACTCAGAGAACAAATGCCATTCACTACACTCTTCTAGACCATGGGGCCTGTTCGGTTGGATGTATTTCCTCTAAACTTTCAGTCTCAACACTCAGGTCCCCTCAAGCTTTTGAATGCACACAATCTTAGGAGTCTAGCAAATATGGCACACTTCTCCTTCTCTGGGGTATTTGCTGCCACTTTTTTTAGCTTTATAATACCAGGGCTTTCTAACATCTCTGGGAGGAAGACCAACATGGACCAGGGCAAGGAGATGGCCACGCCGTTGGACGGACCATCTGAAAACGGAGGACCACTCAGAGTCACTGGGGCTGCTGTTGTGCCAGGGTGAGCTATGCTTACCTCTGAAATGTTGATCCGGCCCTCCTGGAAGGAGCAGGTGGTGGGGTCATGAGTACAGAGATTTCGGTATTTGCACCAATGGCAGCGGAAGGCGCTGTTGACACAAGACAGGCACCTGCAAGGATAGAGACAGTAAGAGGCAAAGAGAAGGGAGCAGACAGGGAAGGTAAGGGTGCCTAGTAGCCCATGTGTCATGATGGAAGTCTGTTATCCTAGTCTCACTCTCGGAGGGGTAGATTGGTGGGGCATCCCCAGCCCTGAGAATGGTGGCTTATCCCTCTAAGATGTTCATGGGACCAGAAAAATTGAGAGAAAAATGTGTTCAGAGTGGGAATAATGTAACCTAGAAACCAGTGGTGTGCTAGAGTTGGTTTGTATCAGCTCATGACAGCCAATTATTCATATTTTCAGGAAGTTTACAAGCGGTTGGCATCATGATAGCAGCTGGAAATTAGCCATGGAGGGAGTATTTATGCCATAGAAATTGGAAAATGCCATATAATAAGTTTTTCCCCTGATTTCTGATAGTTAAACATTTGCCAGCATAACACCACTTATAAGACAGAATCGCGGGGGTGCGATGAATTGGGAGATTGGGGTTGACATATATACACTAATATGTATAAAATAGATAACTAACAAGAACCTGCTGTATAAAAAAATGAAAAAGACAGAATCGCCCAAAGAGCGCAGGGATAGAAATCGGGCAGATCTGGTTGCAGTTTTGCCTCTGCCACTGCCACTGAGTTCACCCTGAGTAAGCACCTTACCTTCTGACTCGGAATTTCTTCATCTGTCTATACTAAAACTTTCCTGTCTATTCCATGGGGTGTTTCGTGTCAAACGAGATAATGTATAGGACGTGATTTTGAAAAGTATTAACAATGCTAAATGTATTATTTTTAAGTGCTTAAATCACCTGTTATTCCAAGCTCTTAAATCACATTGGAGTGTTAAATGATTGGTTCATACCACCTGTGTTTCTGAGTTTTGGGGGAGTAAACGGTATTAAATGGTAACTTTGTCCCACTCTCCAGGTAGCCAGGCATAGATAGCAACAGGCTATGTGTGTGGCTTCTGCCTTTCTCCCCAGGGTGAGTGAGCACTTCTTTCTCTCTGGCTTCCCCTGGAGGCTGTGTGTATCATCTAGGTTCTCTGTGTGTGATCAGACCACTGTCAGGGAAACGGGTTTTGCAGGTAGGGTTGTTCTTCCTGCTTCTTGCCAGATCCTCTAGTCTAGCCTCTCACAACTAGACCAACCTGGAAGGGACACGGCCAGGTCTGCAATCTGGCGCCACCTGCTGGGAGCTCTGATGACATTTGGGCGGATGGGGCTTGATCCAGGGGTCACTGGCTAATACTCCACAGCGGATTGGGTGCGTTAGCCCATCTACACTTCTCCATGCCAAGTATTTTTATCCCCTTCTAGATATGCCCCTAGTTATTTTGTTCCTGAACCTAGCCCAGATGGATTGCTTCTTGCTAACATCTTATGATTCAGCAAGTAAATCATGAAAATGGACCAAGGATGATGAGATCAGGGTTTTAGAACAGGTTCTTCCATTGGCTAATTTTGTGACCTTCGTTGCAGCACTTATACCCATGGGCCTCAGTGTACCATAGTAAAAGGAAAGAATTGAACTTGACTCTGTGATTTTTAACTGTGAATGCCAGGAGTAAAGAAGGGTAAGATAGTGTTTTGCAATAAAATGGAATCTTTAGTGTCAAGGATACCTGCTTTGTTTTTCTGCTAACACTTGCTGCCTGTGACAGCATCTCCATTGCCATGGCAATATGGTTGAAAGTGGTGACATCACACTGAGTTGCCATGGAGATGTGGATACTCTCACAAACAATGTATTCCTTCACTGCTGTGTTGTGGGAAGTTCACTCTCCAAGATGCTTGCATTTCCCAACAAAATGGGATTGGAATGCAGTGGGTAGGGGGCAATTTTATTCATTTCAGCTTCAGCTACATACTGCCCTGCCTTGCCTCCTCCTCCCAGCCCATTTTTACCACTTGTTCTTTCTTTCTCAGCACATCTGTTGATTTGGCCAAATGGGGCTGCTCAGGTACGTCTCTTTCCTTAGCTATTGTGGAGACCCTAGAACTCTAGAAGATGATTCTAATCATGAAAAATCAAGACCAGAAAAGAGGAGACTAAGGAGGCTCATTTGCCTATTTTGATGGCTAACTTCCTTTAGGGCTTAGCTGCAAACAGACCCTCTCCCCACATGGACTGCTGGGCCCATCGTGCCCACAGCCTAGACCCTCAGACTTGATGCTGCTGGAGTCCTTAGGTTGTTCCTGCCCTGGGCAATGGGAAGGATGGGTCCATAGAATATTCTCAGGTACTGCTCCTTCTGGCATGGAGCTGTTGCTTGATCTCTCTCCTTGTTGATTGACCAGGGTCACATGGCCCTTATGTGGCCCTATTATAGAGACGTGTTTCCCTCTTTCTAAATCTAAATCTAAATGGTGCATGAGTTTCCAGATGGTATGGAAGGAGTCTCAGTTTCACTTCGAGAGAGGAACCAGCAGAAACTAAGTATGGGTCTCTCTCTTCTCCACTCCTGGCCCTGTTTCTTACTTATGAAATGCTCCCAGCTTCCTGCGCAGCTGTTGGATCTTACAGCCAAGGGCACTCAATTGGTAGGCATTCTGCTGCTGGAGATGGCTGGCGAGGTCAGCTGGGCTGCACTTAAGCCCCTCTGAGGGCTGGTGGTTGGATCTGGTTTTCCCCTCCTCCTTGAAAAGTTGAAGGCTCAGTTTGGACCACGGTATAGTTTAAAGCTTCCTCTCTCTCTCCCAGACTGAGTCCTTTACTTGAGTGCTGGGTGAGGCTATTTCCCCATCTCTGAGTCCCTTCTTCATGTGGTCATGGATGATGTGTCCAAGCTCCACTGGCTGTCAGTCTCCATGTTCAAATCCACCACCAATTGGTATAAAATGGAGAATTTTTCTTCTGGGTCCTGAGCCATGACCTTTGTTTTTACTTCAAACCCTCTTTTAACTCTTAGTTTGAGAGTTGAGGGTAGGGTGTGTTGCAAGGGAGACCGAATGAGATCAGAGGCTGTGGAGAGTGAAGCCATTCAGTTTAATATAACTGAATAAATGGAATATAACTGAAAAGTAACAGTTATGGAGAGCTTACTCTCTTCCAGACAATGTGCCATGTCCAACTGGGAGACTGTGAGGTGAATACAATATGATTCTTGTTCTAAGGGAACTTAGAAAAACCCCACACTCATATCCAGACCCAGGGCTAGACTCCTTCTGGCCTGGCCCTGCCGTTACCCACTTGCTCACTAATTTCTCCCGACCTCATCTCTATAGAAGGACGTTGGTCTAGGTGATCCTCTGGCTATGATATTGAACAATTACTAGTGCTGCGAGGGGTGTGCTTACAGTTGGTGGGCGCTGCAGTTGTAGAACTTGAACTCGGTGCCGACGAATATCTTTCCTGTCTCCTTGGATCTCAGCTGCAGCTCTAGCCCAAACCAGTCTGGAAAAAGGAAAAAAAAAGGAGAGGGTTTACAAACCTGGGGCACAGTGGAGAGACTGAGGGTAAATCATTCAGCTACTCCAGGGCTCCCCTGGGGCACCGATGGTAGATGGAACCTTCTTGAATCTTCTTCCGAGAGACTCCCTTTCATCCTGCTGATGACCAGCCCATCACTGAGACCCAGACACCCCCAGCCCCCCTCTTAGGGAGGAGGTAATGGGTCAGATCCCACAGAGTCCCCTGTTTGGTCAAATATGTACAGTTACTGTCAGAAATATCAGGTCACCGATATAGAATAAAAATTAAAAAAAGAAATATCAGAACGAAATTGGGTCATGTGCAGAGATGTGGATGGATCTAGAGACTGTCATACAGAGTGAAGTAAGTCAGAAAGAGAAAAACAAATGTCGTATATTAACGCATATATGTGGAACCTAGAAAAACGGTACAGATGAACCGGTTTGCAGGGCAGAAATTGAGACACAGATGTAGAGAACAAACGTATGGACACCAAGGCGGGGAAGTGGCAGGGGTGGTGGTGGTGGTGTGCTGAACTGGGAGAATGGGATTGACATGCATATACTGATGTGTATAAAATTCATGACTAATAAGAACCTGCTGTATAAAATAATAAATAAAATTCAAAAATTCAAAAAAAAAATCAGGTCAAAAGCCCTAAAAGCCCCCAGTTCTATGGAGAGAACCCGCTGAAAACCACCGGATGAAGCCACTGACATTCCTCGAAGGGAAGGGAAGTCTGGAAAAAATCTTTATGCACTGTGCAGGCTTAACCCAAATGGGAGCAAGGGATTTCCCTCTTCCTGAATTTTGCTTTGGGGCATGACAGTTTGCTTTCAGACTCAAACAAGTTTATAAGCCCTACTGGTATCTGGCATAAGGAGACCTAGTCAGGCAACTGTCAGGCAGTCTGTGCTGGTACTTGCCACCCTGTCCCCTGGGTCCTCTTCTCTTGGCCACCCTGGTAGGGAAGTCCCTAGCATATGACTCTCATGGCAGACACTTCTTACCTTGATCCAGAGGGATGACAGGGACAACCTTGGGCCCTGGTGAGATGCAGATGACCTGGCTCCCAGATACCTGTCCCTCTACCTCTGTCAGGTTCCCAAAGGCACAGGAGATGCCCGCAGACAGATCGGGAGCATCACTCACAACCAGGCTGAGCTGTGGGAGGAGCAAAGGGATAATGCTGTAGGAAGAGCCCTTGGGGTTCAGGAGACCTGGGCTCCAGGCCTGGCCCTGTCATTGCCCATTTGCTCACTCATCTCCACTGACCTCATCGATAAAGAGGATGTTGGACCAGGTGATCTTCTAGCTTTGACACTGAACAATTACAGTAGCACTGCGAGGGGTGTGCAGGGCCAATGGTCTTTATTATTAATACTATTAATTTTTCAGTCTTGTCTAGCAGCAGAAAGCACTGGGGGGAGGGGAAGGGAGGGATGCTAGGGGGAAAGGTCCCAAAACCCATCTCAGACCCAGCTCATTTTGACATGAAATCATGCAAACTTGAAAGCAAGTCATGAGCTGAGCCCTTCACAAATAAGCCTTAGCCCTGGATCATGGGAGAACACGTATCACCAGTCTGCAGGTTTATAAGGAGTTTACCGGGTTGGCGAAAGACAGCTGGCGCCTCAGCCTGGCTGTCATTTACGGTCTGCTTGCCAAGGTGGTGGGTTTCCTAGAGTTTCTATTCTCTGTTCCTCTCTGGCTCTCTGCCCCCTGACAGCTCCTCTAGAGTAGGGCAGTCGCCTCACAGGGAGTTTAGGGGATCAGAGAAAGGCAGGAAGTGGACACTAATGGCTCAGATGATGTCTGCTGTTTTTTAGGGTTCCAGTGATCTAGGTCAGTGGTTTGCAGGCCTTTCAAGTTTGAACACTCTCCTTTGAATGGTAAAAATATCACGGAGTGTCAGAAGAATCTGTTGATTGAGAAATCATTTAATGGTAAAACGCTGCTCTGAATTCAGTGTACTTGGAAATGGGATTGTACTAAGTGACCACAATATAATATCTAAGTGGTATTTGAAACAATAGGTGAGAAATGTGACTCCAAGTGGGGAGTGCCCATGAGGGTTCATGGTGACAACACCCTGTGGCCTGCAAGTGGTGTGTCCTAACGGAGGGAGGTCTCCCTTTGTCATCCCACCTGGCAGGGATTTCTTAGTCACAATGGCTATCACCTAGCCTTTCTATACATTTGTTTGCTGCTGAATCTCTGCCCCAGTTTCGTTTCCATGGGGCTGAGAGACTTAGGTACAAACTCTGCTGTTTGTTCCCTCAGCTCCATGGGAGCCAAAACCTCCCGGTGGGGATGAATGAACGCAAGTCTTGGAAGGTTCATTAACTAATTAACATTTGTGAATGCTCATAAAACCTCCAGAATGAAATAGTCGTGCAGGGCCTGAGGACACGAAGTATTTGGGGTTGCAACTCGACAGGTGGTTAAGGACCATTGTATTCTCTTTAATATTCTAAGCACATACTGTGAATTAAGTCTCAGTCTCTCTGTGTCTGCCTGTCTGTCTGTGTCTCTCTCATATACAAGCACAAAGGCAACTCCAGGTTTCTGTGAGAGACTGTATCAAGTGGACGACTGAAATACACCATATACCAAAGAATGGCATTGGACTGCATTATGTTGTAGCTGTTTGTTACTAAATGCAAAATCTAGATTTACAAAACAGATCAATAGGTAATGAATCTGCAAGGGGCATGGCAAATGACTAGGCCCTTTACAATAAGAGTTACCATAGTTTTCCTACAAATATCAAGTTTCCTTGGAGCATTTAAAGGGTGAGCCATTTACATTGTGCAAGTGTTACAGGAACACACCCACACTTGTGCAGGTCCCGCACCCCACGCCTCCAACCTTCTGGATGAGTTTACTCACCAGCCGGCTGTGCTCAGACACTGAGATGCTGCTGGGATGCACCTCGAGGCTCATGCACTGGCTGATGCTGGCAGCAAATCGATTAGGTTCCCAGGCCCGCTGGCACTTGTCCCTGCGGGAGCACCTGCCACAAACACAGATTCACAAGAGGTCAGGCCTCTGAGACCCATCTGTTTGAGGCTCCAGGGTCCCCTGAAGGTAAGTGAGAAGGCTTTGCTGCTCTGAGGCCTGTGTCCGTCTTCTCATGACAACATTCACTTATCCCAGAGGGCCTGGCGACTCCCAGATGGTCTCTATTGCAGTTAAAGTCAGACTAAGAGAAGTGGGATCGACCGCCAACACAAGAGATGCGGTTTAGACATAAAGAATAGCTCTAGAGGGACAGCATCTTTACGGGAAACTCAGTGAGTGAGGGAGGGAAGTTTGGGGACGTGAAAAGTAGCAAGCAAGAGGCTAAAAATGTGAACTCTGGAGCCATGATGCCTGGGCTCTAACCCCAGATCTACAGCCTACTAGCTGTGGCCCCTTGGTTCCTTAAT